TGGACTTTCTCCTCTTTATCGGGTTTAATCTCACGGGGCCAAGGCTCATTGTCCTAAAAAATCGAATCATTCTGTCAATCGCCTGTTGTCAACTTCCTCAAAACAGAATAACTCTTTCATTTCTCTTTTCACATTTTTCTGTTGTCCTAATTGCGCCATCACTCAAAAATCGGCCTATTCATTATTTTATTATGTTCATTTGTTCATTATTTAACGCTCGGCTGCGGAGGGAGAAAGGGGAAATCCGGGAAAAAGTGTTCTATTTTGAATAGACAATGTGATTGGTTGAGAGGGGTGTGAAGTCAGTGCTGGAAGAATGCGCGGTATTTTCAAACTCTCAAAAACCTATTTTTGAGTTTTCAATGAATTTCAAGTGACACTGGCATATATCTGCGCATACATCACCAAATATCCTGACTACTTAATATATCACACATTAATAATGTTATACAGTACGATATTACATAATACGTTGATATATGACACACATGTCCTATATATTTCCGTAACTTTTTACTCTTATATTTTTACCCCAGGAATTCGCTCCAATTTCTCAACCCATTTGCATAAAATTGATATCAATAATCCATAATCCATGCGTTTTTCATTCACTATTTATTTCTAGAATGCATTCTCGCGAATCCTATGAAACGCAATGAATTTCAACTATTTTTATAAAAAAAATCACAAATTCAATTTTTTTCACTTCCCCTCATCCACTTGCCCCTAAAAACATAAAAACGACGAAAAATATAAAAAATATTTTTCATATATTATTATTATTTAATTGTTATAATATATCATTGATAGATCATATAATGTGCATTATATTCGTATATAATATATTAGTATATGCATATATGATATTTATATCCGATATATTCGAAAAAAAATGTTGCCCCTATATTCAATATGATATTGTAATGCAAGGGATCTGTTCCAATTTCTCAATCCATTCTTGCATAAAATTGATATTAAAAGAAATTAGCTAATGCTCTCCGTAAGTAGATGTAAATTTATCTCCACGAAATGACGATATTTACCAGATAGAAAGGACTTACTTATAAACCCGCTGACATTACACGACTCAATCGATTTATCCCCTCCACCCCACTCCCCTTCCCCTCGCCCCCTACCTCCCCCCGCCCCTCAACAGAAAAACCCACTCTGGGTGTGATTTGAGCTAGTTTGAATTCAACAGGTGGTAGACAAACCCAAAGACCTGGAGAATGTTGGGTGAAGTGAGTGGGATTGGTGATTTTATTACATAATCAGTGTAATAATACTGGAGTCATATATCACTGAAAATGGCTGATCAATTTCAGTATTGACACTCGGTAACACCATTAAAATGTCTATACGTCAGAAATAGACAATGGGATACTCGATGGCATTTGAATAGACTCCGATGATACAAGTTGTTATTTTGATTTACCGACTGCTGCACTTACTGCAATGCCAACAGTCGAAGGCAGAGTGCAGCACCTGAAGAGTAAAAGTTTTCATCGAGAGAAATTGAGAGAGTGGGGATGATCGATGCCCCACTATTTTCATCCAGTGGGCGTTGCCTACACCTGTGGATCTATTGCGCATGCGCACACCGGTACAGAAATAAGAAAGACTGGCAATACGTAATCACAATTGACCCTGAACTTCAGGGTAACGCTATATAACCATCGTACTTGGCACTGCAAATACGATCATTCAGTCAGCAACAATTTCCTTATACAGATATTTTCCTTGAGTGCATTTAATGATACGTACCATTACGTATGCACATGAGTATGCATCAACGATCACTATAACTCTTACTCAAGGACAATTATTCTGTAATGCGTCTCTCACTTCGGCGGGTAACTGCAGTGGTGGGTGAATTATTGGCAGTTTAAAAATTCCCATCGCAATGTTTTGCTTGTTTTTTTTTTCTACTTCATCATTCGGCTTTCGAAATAAAAACATTTTCCTGCATTCCGAGATTTTTTATTCAATTTGTTTAATCATTTGCATCGAGACAATTATTCATTCAGTATTCATTATTTTTAATATTAATTATTGATTAATTATACTTAATTATCGTTATATTGATTATATAAATTAACCAATATGATTAATTAATACGGTATGAAAATTAAAATATTAAAATATTTAAAAACAATATAATAAAAGTGGTAAAATTATATTCGAATGAAAACTCAATTGTTTGTAAAATATTCGCCGGAAATTGTAATAATTCCTAAAAATTGAGAGTTGAAAAAATAATTGAAATACCTCAATTGAATTAATTATTTAATTAATTTTCCTCATCTCGATATGATTTTCTCGGTTATTTTTACCACATGATATCTGAAATTCTGGTTTAATCGTGAAAGTTCTCAGGACTTGATGTGTTACGCAGTCAATCGACAGTTTCCCACACCGGATAAATTATAACTTGCATGATGGCCTTGACTTGCATTATTTTTTTTTTCCCCACTTTTCTCTGTCTCTATTTTTTGCAAAGTCAAAGCCTCTCTAGTACTCAATGATGCCGGTGCTGAACAATTTTTTAAATTACACAGACAGTTGAATATTCATGATTTTACCATACATCCTTGAA